TACATAACAGGCCAAATAACCGTATAGTCACTGAGCACCAGGTGCTGCTGATCAAAAGAACGTGTGTGGCCAAAAAACACTGACAGCTCTGCCCAACTCGAGGCTCTTCCACACCCCCGCTTTGGGAAGGGCGCCCTGTTCGGTGATTTATGCCCGAATAATGGCTGGCTTTCTGGAAAGAACCTCAATTTAAACGGGTGGGGCAGGGAGGGAGATTCCACAGCAGCAGCGAACAGTCGGCGCCCGATGCAGCTCCGTGTGTCCTGAGAAGACCGACTGGCCCGACTGGTTTGAAAAGTGTAAAGGAAACAGCAGCCACGGGTCTTCCGTTCGGTGCCTCGAGGTGCACCGACCAGCGGGCTGGTTCTGAGTTAGGGGGTTGGGGAAAGAAACGTCGGTTCATGGGATCAGGTCCCCAGGCAGAAAGGCACAGGGACACTGCCCAGAACCCGCACGTTGTAAATTACACTGGTCAGGGCTCGATCAAGCCCCTAGCAGCTGAGCATAGTTAGTGACAGGCCCCGTGCCTGGTTGTCCTACCTCCTGTTCCAAGTGGAAAATGGTAGCATTCACCCCCCGAGTAACAATAATGTGTTTCTGGGCTTCCACTGCAGCGTAGACATACATTTTTGCAGAAGTCACTATCATTAATGAGTAACCCTGAATATATATAACAAGGATGACTTCATCTAATGTGTGCACCAGCAGCTAGAGTGGCCGTGTGTCTGAGACGCAGCGCTTCCTGCTGGTCCCTAGGCCTCAGTCCATAGACATCCCAGCGTGTGCACCTGCTGCCGTCCACGGGCTTAAGTGAAGCTCCTGTTCCCGGTGAGCAGAGGTGGACTCGGCTCCCACGGCTTGTGGGCTGTTTCAGTGGTGAGCTACCTGCTGCCGTGAGTCCGTGTCGGGGGCACGTTTGGTGGTTGGCTTTTCTCAGCGTGACTTTCGGTTGATGCGAAGTGATTTAGGTGCCTCCTCCACACTCATACAAACACCTGGGTCCCCCCTCACCGAGCAAATTTTATAACCTGACCACAGACATCTCCTCTAGGCTGATATTTGGTGGATGAGGTCCTGGCAAAAGACATTCTGGAGAGACTGCTTTTCATACTTACACCAGTCCCTCCAACACACTGTCTAATGTGAATAGTGTTAACTGCGTAACCATAAAATACTGAAATAATAATGCATATTAATGTAACTTTCTTACAATTACAGCAAACTGTACACTTACTGTCTAAGAATCCACTATCCTTTATATAATTAGCTGAATTTTATGTACACCCAGGAGCTATAAATTTTATTTTGAAGACGAGCTGTAAATCAGAGAAGAGAAATTAAAGACAAAATTTATTAAGTTTAGGGCACCGTTAGTAAATATAATATTATTTTTGATCAATCAACCACATTTGGCAATTCAGCCAAAACATATTCCTGACTTGACAGAGGGAACAGGGCCCTTTGGTCTGAATCACCTGCTGACGGTCATGTGACCAGGCTGGGGGTGGCATATACCTGGGGAGTCTTTTATGGCATTGCCCCTGCTGGGCACAGCGCCAGGGGGCCTCTGGCGCCAGAGGGACAGGGACGGTCGGGAGGTGTTCGCTTTTTCTGTGCTTCCCTCTCATCAGGCGCTGTAGGTGTTATCGGTAACCTCATGTGGCTCCCCTGCTGAAACGCATCCACAGCTGCCCTGCGCCTTCTCGGTGACAGTGACACCCACCATCCCCGAGAGGGGCGCATCCTTTCTGCTCTGGCCACAGGCCACTCCTCCAGCTGTGTCCCCTGTCGCCTCCCCCCGGACTTGCTGTCCTTTAAAAACCACCCCAAACGCTCCCCAGGGCCCGAGCCTGCCCCACTGCGCTGGGCCTGCTCCCTTTTGTGTGTCTGTCATCTTGATTTTGGACAGTTTCTTTAAAAGAGTGCCTGCTTCTGTGAACCTAAAACTACTCTAAAAATCTAAGCCTCAATAAAAAAGGCACTCCGTAACATTTATTTACTAGTTTTATTCATCTTAGTTTTTCTGTCTGTGTCGAGTGTATAGGAAAATTTACAAATTTTACTTTGTTTTCTTGCCTAACAAGGAAACAAAATCGATGGAGAGAATTGTGGACACTAGTGAAGTGCAGAAAGCTCTCCTCTGCCCAGCTTTGTCTCGAGTGGAGTGTTTACAGTGGCTTGTGCTGCCCGCAGTAAAGAAAACAACTTAACAGAAGCTTTAAAGTCTAGTTGCTAAAGAAACAAGGACTTTTGAGGGGGAAACCTTAGATTCTGAGTCTAAAGTCATTTAAGACGTTTTAAAGCTCAGATTTTTTTATTGTTCAGTTTTGCTCTTTGCTTGGAGCCCAAGTCCAGCGGTGTTATCAGGGTGTGGTTACCGCACAGAAAGGGACGTTTCTCCTGCACTGCCCGAGCCCAGGCCGCACGCCCTGAAGTCGCAGCGGCCGCGTTGGGCAGCGACAGTGTCATCGCCCCGCACTCGGTCCCGGGTGGGGCCGGTTTCCGAATGAGCAGCACAGTAGACTCAGCCACAGGAAAAACAACAGCAGTGAGATGGAGGAAGCTGCGGACTAACCAGAGACAGGAGAGAACAGCAAATTCCCCGGAACACAGAGGCCGGGGCAGAATCCCGTCCCTCTATTTCCCACAGCAGGGCCCTCCCCAGAGGGCCCGGCACCCTCCCTCCCTCCTCTCCAAAGTCCCCGAGACGGCTCATTCCTGCGGCCACTCGGACCCCTGCATGCCAGCCCTGCGCCAGGCACCCACAGGAAGCGCCCAGGAGTCCTGTGCCCCCTGTGGGTCCCTAGACAATTAGGTGGTGTCGGTACTGCCACCAAGGGCCTTTATAGTCTGTGTGTCCTGAATGCAGACCGAAACTGTCAGGAGGCTTTGAAAACCAAGGTCCTCCGATGGGTAGGACAGGACGTGGCCAGAGCACTGCCACACGGTCTGGAAGGAAAGGTGTTATTACTACTGGGAGGCAGTTCTTCAGGGGCCTCTCAAGCTTGTGCACACCTTGTGCCTCACCTGGCAGCTCTTCCATTTGCAACATAACCAGGATGCCCATACCTCTCCCTGACCCAGCAGTCTCGTGTCCCCTGCCAGCATCCACGAGACTGTGGCAGAGTGACCTTCTCGCCTGCGGGCCAGGTGGACTCTCAGGCCCTCCTCCCTCCTTGCCAGTTACTCTAGGAACACGGAAAACGCCCTTTCATAAAAATCGATAGCAAAAGTGCCCAAATCCACTGATGAAACTTACATATTGAACACACAGGGTTGGTCATTTCTATTTTAATTTTATCGCACCATACGAATTACTGGAGTTTCCCTCATATCTGTGACTTCTTACACCATGATCTGTAAACACTCCCTCGCCCCCGTGAAAGGACTCTGGCCGTTGTGTGGCTGGGTTTTATCCGGTGTCCGAGCCCTTGGTGATTTGCTGGCTGAATGTCTACCAGTAGCTCTCTGCAAGCTCAGAAAAAATATAAATACGACCTATCTATTTTTCTGTGTACGAAATGCCTTCCCAACAGTCCGCCAGCTCAGCTGTTTTGGAGGAATTACTTTGTGCTGTGAGTGAGGATTTTTTTCATGTCAGAAAAAAAAGCCGCCACAGCCGGCTCCACGTTCTAGAGTCAGTGGTGTCCTCCACGCTTTTCCTTTGGGTGGCCAGGGATTGCTTTAAGCCTTCCTCTCAATACCCTCGAAGGATTTGGAGCATTTTAAAAGACTGAGTGAAAAGGGTGGCATTGCCCGGCTGGTGTTGCTCAGTGGTTGAGCACCGTCCCAGCACCGAGAGGTCACTGGCTTGATTCCCGGTCAGGGCTCCTGCCCCGGTTGTGGGCTCGATCCCCAGTCAGGGGCGTGCAGGAGGCAGCCGATCAGTGACTCTCATCATTGGTGTTTCTCTCTCTCTCTCCCTCTCTTCCTCTCTCTGAAATTAATAAAAACATTTAAAAAAAAAAAAAAAAAGCTAAAATAGAGGCACATGTGCAGAACAAGAGCAGGGGAATGAATTAACCAGGGGGGCTGCGCAGGGGACGGCACCCCAGCTGCCGCTGTGGGGTGGGCCGGGTCTCCGGGGATTCTGGGGACCCTGAACGAGCAGAGAACGTGGGGGTCTGTCAGGTGGCACCGTCCCACTGCCTGCTGACGGTGGGATCCCTCTATCCCTCGTTCCATCCTGCGCTCTTGCTGCGAACTTGTCCACAGTGCAGAGGTGTTTTTAAAAATAGAAAAAGTACTGGGTTCCCTTTAGAAAGCCCAGGTTATTTCCTGGCTTCACCTATGATTGTGTGACTTTGCGCCAATTATTTCATGGCTCAGGGTGTCCCTCTCCTCCTCTGTGGCCCAGGGTGTCCCTCTCCTCCTCTGTGGCCCAGGGTGTCCCTCTCCTCCTCTGTGGCCCAGGGTGTCCCTCTCCTCCTCTGTGGCCCAGGGTGTCCCTCTCCTCCTCCGTGGCTCAGGCCGTCCCTCACCTCCTCCGTGGCTCAGGGTGTCCCTCTCCTCCTCTGTGGCTCAGGGTGTCCCTCTCCTCCTCTGTGGCCCAGGGTGTCCCTCTCCTCCTCTGTGGCTCAGGGTGTCCCTCTCCTCCTCTGTGGCTCAGGGTGTCCCTCTCCTCCTCTGTGGTGCAGAGTAGCCCTCTCCTCACCTGCGAGGTCCTGCTTTGGGCTCCTCCTGCACCCACGTGCAGTGCTTCTACCTGACCCCTTGTCACTGGGGGCATCGCTACACCAGGGGCACAGTGTCCCCAGCTCCATGGCTGAAAGACCCAAAGAAGGAAAGGCCAGCTGACCCCAGACCCTCCTCAAAGGCCCACCTTGACTGCTGCCCAAGGCCCATCGTTTCCCTGGAAAGATCGGATGCTGAGTATTTCTAACGCATGCCTGCTGAGAGACTTCTCTCTCGCCCGACCAGATTGTTCACTGTGGAAATGCTTAGTCGGGGGAAGGGCCGGCTGCATTCTACGTCTTTGACTGTATTTCTCTTTCTTGCAGGAATTTTTCTTTAAATGTTCAGCACACCCGACCTCTGACGAAGAAACGTCAGTAGCTTTGAACCTGATCACAACAAACCGTCGAGGAATCCCCTGCATCACATGCACGGACGTCAGGTAAGGACCTGGAAGCTCTGTCACGCCCAGTGCCTGGCCTTCCTGATGGTACGACCGTCCCATCCCCAGGCCTTTCTCTTTCGGAAGTAGAGTCTGCTTTACTCCGATGCCGTCTGCCCAGTTTGCATATATTTTAACGCGAAAAGACTTCAAAACGCCAGATCCTTAGCTTGCTCGGTAGTCAGGTAGGCTCTTAGGAGATGACTGATACCTCAAAATAGTGTCGTAGTAAAATGTAATAGTTCATAGTAAAATGTAAACACACGTATTGATACCAGTAAGTTCTAACCTGGAACATGACGCTGATGTTAGGGACAAAGAGTTTATGAACCCCATAATATTTTATTTTTAAAATGTCTGTTCCCTGTGCATTTCAGTTCTCCCCCACATCTATCTGTGTTTATATTGGCATATCACATGCATTCATACCCCCACATGGAAGCATGTCTCTGGGTTTGGACCTGGGTGTTTCTCACCTGAGTGAATACAGTGAAAGAAAGAAATCATGGAGCTGCTGGTCTGTTAGCAAAAAGGGGGAAGCGGTGAGGTTTGAATTCCAGTGTAGGGGGCCAAGGGCAGTGTAGAAGCTCTGAGCCTATTTAATCTTGAGTCGACGGTTGAGAGAATTCCTTACTCTACAGTCTACACCCTGCAAAGGAACACCCTGCAAATTCGCTTCACTGCATATTCTGAGCTCGGCTCCAAGCACAGTGCCATACCGGGGGCTTAGCCCTGATATCCGGGAGGACTTTAAAGGACTGCCAGCGTGAATTCACGAACAAGGTCAAAGGATCTTTTTTGTTACAGACTTTAAGTAAAGATGGTCATTTAAGCATTGTGTCTCTTTGGCCTTTGGAACTGTACTAGGTGGGCTTTTAAAGCTGCTGTAAACTGTACGACTTCATGATTAGTGAGTCTTCGTACGCCTACGTGCTACATTCATTCTTTAATAGGTTTAAATATAAATGTTGGCTAATAGAAGTCTAAAAACCTTAACCACATCTGTTGAGCAAACTTGTTTCCAGAAAGGAATAAATAAAAATGAGACGTTTTCCTTTGGCTGCCTACTCAGTTCTCACGGAGGCAGGGAGCCCCCCAGTATTGCCCCTCAGTCCGCATTTGCGCCCCCTTGGAGAGGTGGGTGAGTGAGTGTGGCCAGTGCTCTCACCATGAGGAAGAACAGCTGACTCCTCTGGTGTCCAGGAACTGAATGGAAAGTGCTGAAAAGCAGGGCCCAGCTGCTCTGAATGCACCAGGTGATTAAATCACTTTTCAGTTTTTCAAAGGAGAAATTGAAAATATTTTCTCTAAGTCAGAATGCAGCCCCCAGCCAGTGTTTTAAAACCTTCCACTGAAGCAGATAAAGATGGCATTAAAATACATCGTGTTGATCATATTATCATATTATCATATTATCTCACAGTGAGCATGGCCCTCCATGCTTCATGTTGCTGAGCTGCCACCTTTATATTAATAAATCACAAAATATTTTGACAGAAATGAGCTTCCTTCCAGATACACAGGGAGATAATTGCTGGAATAATAATATTGTCTGTTGCAATAAAAAAAAATTTCTTTTATTACTTTTGAAGGATTTTATAAATAGAAGCGACTATATTCAGTTAGATTTAAGTGTGTGTGTATAACCAGCCACTTCACTGAATAAGGTCTCTTATAAGGCAGCAGAGTAATGCTCTATACATAAGATAGAAGGATTGTTTCTTCTTATATTCAAGGATTCATGGGTAGGGATGTTGTCATGGACTCATGGGTAGGGATGTTGTCATGGATTCATGGGTAGGGATGTTGTCATTCATTCATGATAGGGATGTTGTCATGGATTCATGGGTAGGGATGTTGTCATGGACTCATGGGTAGGGGTGTTGTCATGGATTCATGATAGAGATGTTGTCATGGATTCATGATAGGGATGTTGTCATGGATTCATGATAGGGATGTTGTCATGGATTCATGATAGGGATGTTGTCATGGATTCATGGGTAGGGGATGTTGTCATGGACTCATGGGTAGAGGTGTTGTCATGGATTCATGGGTATAGGTGTTGTCATGGATTCATGCATAAGGATCTTGTCATGGATTCATGATAGGAATGTTCACTCAAGGTTATCACTCAATAGTCTTAAGTTTATGAATAAAAAGTAATGGACTGAACAAAAAACAAAAACTTGAGCGAAAAGCAGAAAGCCCAGCCCTTCAAGGTAGAAGGTCTGTGTTGTTAAGTGTTTCCCAGAGAACTGCATCAAAAGGGTGCAGGCCATTTCTGTATACCTCAAGTTGACCCAGGAATAACAATATTCAGCCTCTTAGAAATGGCATGGACGAAGCCAGGGTGATACTTGTATTTTTTATCCTACCAGCACATGTATCTTGGGCCCACCCTGATTTTGGGTCCCCCTCCCTGGGGAAAAACAGTATTTACTTTACAATATTACTCTTAAAATTTAAAAATGCAAAGTGTGAAATCATACAGACTGGAAAAATCATTGCCATGATCTCATTTGGCAAAAAAGAAAACAGCCCTCCCCACCCTCCCCCTGCTTCCGGGGCTGACTGAGGCTCCCTGCACTTTTCCCACCTTTATTCTTCGTTCCTCAGTTTAAAAGTTGAAGACAAACTAAAAATAACAAAACAAAACAAAAACAATGCTTGCACAGTTGAAACTGAACCTCCCAGAAACATGTTTTTAAATCCAGCACCCAATAGGATGTTAAATCTGAGAAGCAGGACCACCTTGTAATTTCCCTCAACTCTTCCTTCAATAATGACACATGGTTTGATGTCACTGTTGTTTGATATAAATGGTTTTTATAATAATCTTGCTTTCAAGTTTGTCCTAAAGTTCATTTAGCCTATTAAAGCAAAGCTGCCTTGGGCTGCAGTCTTAAATGATTTCCTTGGGTTTGGAGATTAGTGAAGTCCATTTGTATTGGTTCTAGGTCTTGCTGGGGGAGAGTGATTTAAACCTCATTTGACAGTATTTTGGTATCCATTCATTCACCCATCCATTCACCCATTCATTCACCCATCCATTCATTCTTTTATCCATCCATTTATCCATCCATCCATCCATCCATCCATCCACCCATTCACCAAAGGGAGACAAGACATGGGACTCCTAGCTCCCTTCCCCTTGAATGCACTTGTCATGTTGTAGGCTGCTTTTGTCAATTCACACTTACATTTTGGTTATATTTGTCATTTTCTTTATGATTTAGAATTAATATGCAAGTTACTTTTCTGTCTGATTTTGGAGATATTGCTTAATGGCTGTCAAATTCCATACCTGAAGTGCCCAGGAATGAAACCCAAGCATTTCTGGGTCCAGGTGCAGATTTCCAAGGACTAAGAGCTACTTACTGTGTGGTGGTGATGGAGCTTACCCCATAGTGCCACACGTTAATGTGCAGAAGTGTGTGTGCGGATACCAGCATCCTATAATGTCAGTGTCCCGGGCAAAGCAATTTCATGCAGCATCTGTGACCTTTACCACCTCTGTCATCAGAGGTAACTTAAAGGTCAATCAACCTGTTCATTCAACAGGTATTTATTGAGCTGACCTGTGACCCCACGAAGTGCTGTAGGTGCTTCAGGCTGTGATAAAGGCTGTTGTTTATGGGATGCAGGGAGGGTGGAGGGCAGCTGTGTCCTCTAGCAGTAAAGGGTGTGGTGGGAAAGGGCTAGTCAGGGCAAGACAGACCCTGGTTGCACCTACTGGTGCCTTCTCAGGGTACCATTGCTCCGAAGCAGGAACCCAAACTCACAATGATGCTTTTACTTGGCCAAGACAGTGTAAAAACAAGCATAGAATAACTTACATAAGCTTAAGCAGGGCCTGTACTAATCTGCCCATTCACTGTTCTTTACACCCAGCCAGCTGGATGCTGACCTTACTGGTTCTGTGGATACACTCCCCCTTGCACATTACAAAGGGCAGGACTTGATCGTTGGCCCCAAAGCCAAACTCTGACACCTCGTGCTGCCATTACTAGTCTTCACATCTGGTTTCTCCTCCTGAGCCATTTTGTTCAAAATGTGTTTTCCTATTTTCCCTTTTTATATTAAAAAAAAAAAAAAAAAAAAGCAGCTGCCTACAATCTTCTTTAAAATTGTTGTATAACTAAAGCATTAGAAATTAACCCCTCCCCTTGATATTTCTCTGTAGATCGTAATATTTGTAATCGAGGAAATCTCCCTCTACTGGTAGCAAGCTCAGGAAAGACTTTGATAGACAGTATTCTCACTTCTAACTGCTTTTTAATTTAAATGAGTAAATATTTCTGACAGAATATTATCCCAAGCTACACTCAGAGAAACTTCCTTTTTACAAACATTTTTACAAAACAGAACTCGTCAAGTAAATTATTTCTATTTATACATATTTTGAAAGTTCCACCATTTCTAGGCAACAAGATCAAAAGTTTTCTCAATCTTTTTTGTGATATGAATATGAATTTATCTAGTGGAAAATAAAAGTTGCATTGAAAGATTCTTTCCATAAATTTAAATATTCCAAAAATTAAATTTTGGATTTCAGAATGAAAATCTTGTGTGGCTTTCAATTTCTCATCATTGAATCTAATCAGGTTTGCCTTCACTTTTATGGGGATTAATTTCAGTTTCTTCTTGATGACCTTTTCCTGTGACTTATATTTACTTAAAACTTCCAAAGCTGAATATTTGGAGAATTTTATTAATTGAAGATTTTGATAAAACATTGCTAACTGATTTTGAACAAAACGAAAACAAATTTAGAAGGTTCTCATAAAATAGTTAATACTATTGTAGTGTAGGGGAGAAAAAAAATGTTCCCTCTACCCTCCTAGGTTCTCCAGCTGAGATCCTGGTGAAAGACAGATTAACAAAAGCAAAACAAGCAGAAATTTACTGACAAGTGAAGCCCACATATACATGGGAGCACCCAGAGAGGGGTAACTCAAAAAGCTGGTTAGAACTCGGGCTTACACAGGGCTGGGCAAAAG